TTAAAGTATAAAAATTATTCCTTGTATTTTCTCAGATCCTCATGCAATAAAAGTTGAACTTACCAATAACAGAATATCTGCATACTTATATAAAGTCATGGTAACTAAATAACCTTATACTGAATGATAGCTGGGTCATAGATGAGATTAAGAAGGAAATCACCAAATTCTTGGAAAAAAACCAATAATGAAGACATGAATTATCAGAACCTGTAGGATACTGAAAAGGCAGTCCTAAGAGAAAAATATATAGCATTGCAAGCCTTCCTCAAGACAACAGGAAGAGAGGAAGTCAATGACTTAATGGGACATCTTAAGCAACTGGAAAAGGAAGAACACGCCAACCCCAAGCCAAGCAAAAGAAAAGAAATAACCAAAATTAGAGCAGAATTAAATGAAATCCAAAACAAAAGAATTATTTAAAAGATCAATAAATCAAAAAGTTGGTTTTTTGAAAAATTCAACAAAATTGACAAACCTTTGGACAACCTAAGCAAAAATAAAAAATTAAAGTCCCTATTATCATCAATCAGAAACACCAAAGGTGAAATAACAACAGACACCTCCGAAATTCAAAAAATTCTTAATGAATAGTATAAAAAACTTTATTTTCAGAAATATGAAAATCTTAAAGAAATTGAACAATACTTGGAAGCATGCCAACTTCCTAGACTTAATCAGAAATAATTGGAAATGCTGAACAGACTTATATCAAGTACTAAAATAGAATCAACTATACAAAATCTCCCAAAAAAGAAGAGTCCAGAACCAGATGGCTTCACATCAGAATTCTACCAAACCTTTAAAGAGGAACTAGTATCTATATTACTTAACCTTTTCCCAAACATAGAAAAAGAAGGACTACTTCCCAACACATTCTATGAAGCAAATATCACCCTGATGCCCAAACCAGGGAAAGATGCAACAAGAAAAGGAAATTATAGACCAATATCTTTAATGAACATAGATGCAAAAATATTCAATAAGATCCTAGCAAACAGAATCCAGCAATATATCAAACGAATTAAACACCATGACCAAGTGGGTTTCATCCCAGGATCTCAAGGTTGGTTCAATATATGTAAAACCATAAATATAATACATTACATAAACAAACTAAAAAACAAAGAGCATAGGATTCTCTCCATAGATGCAGAAAAAGCTTTTGACAATATCCAGTGTCCTTTTATGATTGGAACACTTAAGAAAATAGGTATAGATGGGACTTTTCTTAAACTGATAGAGGCCATCTACAGCAAACCCACAGCCAATATCATATTGAATGGAGTAAAATTAACAACATTTCCACTCAGATCAGGAACCCGGCAATGTTGCCCATTGTCTCCACTGCTTTTCAACATTGTAATGGAAGTCTTAGCCATTGCATTCAGGCTAGAGCAGGAGATCAAGGGTATACAAATAGGTCAGAGGAGATCATACTGTCACTCTTCACAGATGATATGATTTTTATACCTGGAAAACCCCAGGGACTCAACTACAAAACTCTTAGAAGTGATCAAAGAATACATTAGTGTCTCAGGATAAAAATTCAGTACTCACCAATCAGTAGCTTTTATAGCCAATAATAGTCAAGCCTAAAAACCAGTCAAGGACGCAATTCCCTTTATAGTTGTGCCAAAGGAGATGAAATATTTGGGAATTTATGTAACGAAGGACATGAAAGATCTCTATAAAGAGAATTATGAAACTCTGAGAAAAGAAATAGCTGAAGACATTAACAAATGAAAAAAACATACTATGCTCACAGCTGGGAATAATCAACATTGTTAAAATGTCCATATTACTCAAAGCAATTTACTAATTTAATGCAATCCCTATCAAAGCACCACTGTCATACTTTAAAGATCTGGAAAAAATAGTTCTTCATTTTATATGGAGCCAGAAAAAACCTTGAATATCCAAGACATTACTTAGAAATCAAAACAAATCAGGAGAAATCACACTACCTGACTTCAAACTATACTATAAATCTACAGTGAGCAAAACAGCATGGTATTGACACAAAAATAGTTAAATGTACAGGCAGAATTGAGAACCAAAAGATGAACTCAGACACTTATTGTCATTTGATCTTTGATAAGCCCATCAAATATGTAAATTGGGGGAAAGATTCCCTCTTTAACAAATGGTGCTGGAAGAATTGGCTGGCAACTTGTAGAAGACTGAAACTGGACCCACACCTTTCACCATTAACAAAAATTGACTCTCACTGGATAAAAGATTTAAACTTATGTTATGAAACTATAAACATTCTTGAAAAAAGTGTAGGAGAAACACTTGAAGAAATTGGCCTGGGAGAATACTTTATGAGGAGGACCCCTGGGCAATTGAGCAACACCAAAAATACATTACTGGGATCAGATCAAACTAAAAAGCTTCTTCACAGCCATGAACACAGTAAGTCAAGCAAGCAGACAGCCCTCAGAATGGGAGAGGATATTTGCAGGTTATGCTTCTGACAAAGGTTTGATAATCAGAATCCACATTGAATTCAAATTTATTAATGAAAAAAGAACAAGAGATCCCATTTCATTGTGGGCAAAGGACTTGAACAGAAGCTTCTCTGAAGAATATAAGCATATGGCCTACAGACACATGAAAAAATGCTCATCTTTAATCATGAGAGGAATGGAAATCAAAACCACTTTGAGATATCATCTAACTCCAGTAAGAGTGGCTCACATAACAAAATACCAAAACTATAGATGTTGGCATGGATGTGGAGAAAAGGGAACACTTCTGTACTGCTGGTGGGAGTGCAAGCTAATACGTCCCTTTTGGAAAGAAGTATAGAGAAGACTGAGGGATCCAAAAGTAGACCTGCCATTTGATCCTGCAATTCCTCTACTAGATGTATATCCAAAAGACCAAAAATCACTTTATAGCAAAGATATTTGCGCCAGATTGTTCATTGCAGCTCAATTCATAATAGCCAAGTCATGGAAGAAGCCCAAGTGCCCATTGACCCATGAATGGATTATATTATGGTATATGTATACCATGGAATATTATGCAGCCTTTAAAAAGATGGAGACTTTACCTCTTTTACATTTACATGAATGGAGCTGGAACATATCCTACTTAGTAAAGTATCTCAAGAATGGAAGAAAAAATATACAATGTACTCAGTACTATTATGAAACCAATTTACAATCACTCACACTTTCATATGAAGAATAGATCAAAACTATAGCCCAGAATGAAAGAGGGAGGAGGGAGAGAAGGAAGGGGAAGGGGAGGTCAGATGGAGGGAGGATGAATGGTGGGATCACACCTATGGTGCATAATGCAAGGGTACATGTTGGATCTATTAAGTACAGAGTATAAATGTCTTAACACAATAATTAATAAACGAGATGAGGTATATATTAACCAGTGTGATGTAAATGCTCCTAATTCTACATGAAATCAGCACATTGTACCTCATAAATGCATGAATATATACATGATCTATGTGTTTGTGATTTAACAAAAAAATTAAATAATAAAAATAAAATAAAATAAAAGCAACAAATTGAAGTTGTTTAGGAATGTGTGAAAGTGAATTATGCTCCATACTCTGTTTTTTTTTTTTTTAATTTTAGCACACTAAAATGGCAGTGTGATTTGACTAGTAACAGCATTATAAGAGCAAAAAAGATCAACCTTCATATAGGTAGTATTGTTTCTTTGCAAATAGTTTATATATCACAATTATTTAGATAGAAGTTATTTTTAAACACAATTTTATGAATTATGTAGTCTAGATCCAAGAGCTAAATTAATTCACTTCTTTTTAATGATAGGAACATAGCCAGGCGTGGTGGCTCATGCCTGTAATCGTAGCACTCTGGGAGGCCAAGGTGGGTGGATTGCCTTAATCACCAGTTTGAGACCAGCCTGTACGAGAGCAAGACCTGTCTCTAAAACAGCCAGGCACTGTGGTAGGCACTTGTAGTCCCAGTTACTGCGGAGGCTGAGTCAAGAGAATCACTTTAACCCAAGAGTTTGAGGTTGCTGTGAGCTGTGACACCACAGCACTCTACCGAGGGTGACTGAGTAAGACTCTGTCTCAAAAATAAATACATATTAAATAAATAAATAAATGATAGGAACACTTTTAAGGTCTTGAAGAGTATATTTTTATATAGTATTTTTTCCTTTAAAATTTCAATTTCAGACTCTTGTTAATTATTTTACCACATTGCTTTCTCTCTCTCTCTTCAAAACTTTTTCCCCTGAACTGAGAATAGGTTGCTGACATTCACTGTTACACTACATATATTTCAGTGTGCATTTCCTAAAAACAAGGGCATTCTTTTTCATAACCACAGAACAGTTATCTAAATCAGGAAATTAACAGTGATGCAATAATAGCACTGGATTGTAGAGTTCACTCAGAAGTCACCAAATTGCCCTATAGCAAAATAAAATATCAATCTTGTATTGATTCCAGCTGTATATAATATTGATCTGTATTGATTCCAGCCGTACATAATATTGATCGTGTACTGATTCCAGCCATACGTAATATTGATCATGTACTGATTCCAGCTATCCATAATGTCTTTTTAGAGTCCTTTAGACTGGAACATTTCCTAAACTTTGTGTTTTCTGACATGACAATTTTGAAAAGTACAGACCAGCTATTTTATGGAATATTCTCCAATATGGGTTTATCTGATGTTTCCTCCTGATTAGTCCTCCCAGCCTTAAAAAAAAAAAAAAAAGAAAAAACTCACAAAGTACATTCATGTTTATAACTCTGAGAATCAATTTAGTTATTTAATTGCCATATTTGCATCAAACAGAATGTTCCCCTCCAGCTTCCCAGGAGAAAAGATGCTCCTAGGAGATTATATATGTTTCTTAATGAACAAACTTGGTTTAATTATGCAGAATCTTGTTAGTTTTAATGGTTTATGGAATCACATAGATTGTTCTAATATTTACTGAGAAAACAAATAAAATATACAACAGTATTGATCTCTTTTTCACAGTAATTCCTGAAAGCCCACAAAAAGGAGGAAACTACTCCCTCACCTTAGATGAACTCCAATTCTTATCACAGCTCATAAAATCCTTGTTGAAACTAGAAAAAGAAGTTCAAGAATTGTTCAAAGAAATGTTTATATTACTCAAGATGCCCAGGAATACTTCAGGTAATGTGCTCTTTTGTTTAAATTTATAAAGCTATAATTTCTGTTTTTATTTCCTGCCTCCTTGAATTCATTTCTTGAAAAAGAAAAAAAAAAAAACACAAAAAAAACAGGATAGAATTCTTCATCTAAGCATTTGGTATAATGTGCACAATAGATTACATTTTTATGTTTTGTACTTGGAAAATTCCTTAATTCTGACAGACAAAATATCATATGAGCATCCTGGATAATTGTCTTTATGTACAATCAGAGCAATTTTTTTTTGATAAACACAGGCTGGCCTGCAGGCCGAAGAGGCAACTGGGTGACCTAGTGGTTCTCTTCTGCCAGGAGCTGATCTCCAGCAAAACATCTAGTCTCCCCTACCCAGAATGTTCTCATCCTCAAAATAGTAATGTGGGACTAAAATAATTTTTTCTTTGTTTTCTTTCAGAATTAGAAGCTTCAGATTCTAATGTTATATAGGACTATGAGGGTTAAATGATTTAGTGTACATATAGTACTTAAAAGAACATTTAGCTCATCATAAACTATCAATAAATGTGAGTTGTTAAAATAATAGTAATTAAAATGACATAATATGTTGTTTTAAATTTGGTTAATCTTAACAGAGTCCCTTTGGCAAGAGCTATGCCATGTATGTTGAATTAATATTTCTATTATTAAAGGTAGAGGTCAAAGGCACAATGATTAAGGCATGTTCTCTTTTGTCATATGTATGTTTATAAAGATTTCTGTCTTTACCAGGGTGAAATGCACAAAATACTCTTTTACATGATAGCATACTTATTCTCAGGAGAATAAATATATACAGTGGCTGGATCTGTAAAACAAAGTGAGGAAAGAAAGTGATTAATAATTCATTTGAAATTTTCAACCCAAAACATGATTTCTTGGTAAAAAATGACATTTATTTCACTCCGTATGTTTACTCTCATTTTTAAATTTACTTTATATAAATAATGCCAGAAAACTTATAAAGTTGGAGTGTGTTTTATATTGAGCATAATTTACTGGCCTTCTATATTTCAGGTTAAATTTAGGTAGCACTGCTAAGTTACAAAGGAAATAATGTCGATTGCTTTTCCATATGTAGAGGTAATTTGAAGAAAAATGGAAGTGGATTATAGATTTCTGAAATCGAACCAAAAAAAAAAAAAACAAGGGGAAAATAATAAAAGTATAAGACAGAAAACATGTTAATTAAAAGACAGAATTTAAAAAGTAGATTTAATTAAGAGATAATGTGAGCCTTCAAAGGTCTTTTAGATAGAGTTGATTCAGTGACCAAAGAGAGATCTGAATAGAAAAATACAACATCCTAATTACTGACTGGTCTGCTCGTGTGTCATGCAGTTGACATTCGGCGCTGGTCCTCAGCCCTCATGCCTAGCTGACATTCAGCACCTCTCATCCACATCTCTAGTAGATCTTTTCTAAGCTGTGGAACAAGAACCAGAACAAACTTTAAAACATCTAGGCCCCTGGCCATTTGGAACCATTTGGTATGGGTCCTCGGTCAGGCCCTTGGAAACTTAGGTCAGTTCTGAGAATTTTATTTTTTTTAAAGGCAGCATAAAATTCAACACTAGAATTGTGTTAGAGAAGTATTATAAAGATATAAAGGTGAAATGGCCAAGAATTGAAGTAAAGATTTAATATGCTGATTTCAAGACAAAGAAGAAAAAAAATGAAAATTTAAAAAAATCTACTTCAGCTGCATTAAATTAAGATGAAACAACTGAGACACTTGTACACACTGTATATTTAAGGGCAACAGTTGCCATTCTTGAATAAAATCAACAAAGCAAATATGTAACTCGGCCACAATAAACTGTCTTACCCCACATGTGTTATCATATAAGTAAGAAGGCAGACAAAAGCAGCTTTGGTATCACGTTAGTAACGGGATACTATCTAAACACCTTCTGGGTTAGTGAACACAAGATGTAGAAGGAATTTGGAAGGGTAAGTCTAAGAAATAGATGTGTGAGCACTCGAACAGCCCCTTGTGGTTTGTGTACTCTTTATTATTGAGATTCATTTTTTTATTACAAAGCCAAGATTGATTTAATTTGGCACAACTTTATGTAAATGGCTCCCTGAGAAGAATAATCTTGAGAGAGATTGTCAAGAAAAATTTTAAATGTTTTATTCAGTGAATCCAAGTTAATCAATTCTTATCAAAAGCATTGGTTTCTTAAATCAGGAAGGAAAAGATTTCTTAAAACAAATGATTAAGGAAGCCAAATACATCATAAGGTAACTATTGGGTATTCCTGATAGCTAATGTTTTACTTAGAATCCTGTGCAGGAGAGAATGCGAAAAAAAAAAAAAAGAGCAAATCATTTGGTTTCCTGTGTATTTATTTTGACTGAAGCATGTTTTGCTAATGAAGATCTTGGAAAGAGTAACCTGCTATGTCTATGTAATCCAAACAATCTGATGAAAAGGGAGGGTTTCATTTTTTTTTCATTGTGCAGATGTTTTTGAAATATCCAAGTGCTTAGCATCACATAGAAAAAGTATAAAGATGATTAGCCAAGTATTTTACTTTTTACTTTGATGTTTGCTATTATATTGTAGACTCAGCCAAATTGGTAGTTCTCTTAGTAATTTGAACGTGGACAAGAAATTTTGTACAGACACAAGAAATGTTTTCTGAGAAAGAAAAAGATATTTCCTCTTTATATTTATTTACTTTTGGGGGGTCATGATTTGATGGTATTCTATTTTTGTCACTTCAGAAAATGATAGGACATTGTTCGACCATTGTGACGCCTTCCTATGTCAGGTGACGACATGTGTGGAGCGGCCTCAGCTCTGATTTATGGACATTTCTAAGGCTCCTTCAGAATAAAGTTGTTCTTTGGGCAGTTCCTCAATTTTTCCAAAGGTGGCATCTGAGATTTATCTAAACCAGGAGGTTTCTTGGCCCTCATTTTTCTTTAGCCCCAGCAATGACAAAGAGCAATGGCTGCTTCAATTGGATGTAAGAAGAACACTTAGGGTTTGTCTCAGAAGAATCAAAGATTTCAGATCTTCTAAAAGATTGTTTGTACTCTTAGGGGGTCTTAAGAGGGGTCAAATGGCTTCTAAGAGTTCCTTAGCTAGATGGTTAAGGGATTGTATTAGGGAGGCGTATGTAGTTAAGGTAAAGAGGCTCCTAGGGTTTGTAAAGCTCATTACACTAGGACTTTAGCTGTTTCTTGGGCAGAGAGGTCGAAGGCTTCCACATTGGAAATTTGCAAGGTGGCCACCTGGGCTTCTCTTCATACTTTTTCATGGTATTATCTCTTGGATGTAGTCTCTTCTACAGATCCAGCTTTTGGTGGGAGGTTGCTTGTGAGCCAGAAAAAGAACAGTGAAGAAAAGAAAGACTTGTAGTTCCCATTTAGAGCTGCCAACGAGGCACATTGCTTTGTAGTGCGCACAATGGGAACCTATGAAGACCAATTTGGGTGTGAAAGTGGATGTCACAGGGAAGTACTGCCAACCTCTACTCTCTATGAAAGAAAGTGGCAGTGTGGAAACTAACCAGAAGTGTAAAATAAACCACAGAGAACTCTGTAGGGGAAGCTGTTGAGCAGCTGGTATTCTCGTGACCCTCTGCTCTTCTGAGGTTCTTAATCTAGGCCTGCTTTTAAAGGAACCAGAGTTGACTGCATGCAAATAGCCATATTTTAAAGCAACGAGCCAAAGATGGCTACTTTCTCTAGACAATGATAATAAATGTATAGAATTTTCAACATATTTTTAAACATATGAACTAATTCTTCACATGTTCACAGAGCTTATGGCATTTTACATTGCCAAATTTTGAAATTGACCATTCTAAACAAAGGTAAAAATGCCGCCATTCATTACAACCACAAGATATCTTATTATATGCATTCCATCTTACCTAAAAAGATACCTTTCCTTTCTCTACATAGAATTGAGTTTTTTAAAAATAATCTTTTCACCTTTTGGAGGGGGGAGATTATATTTTAAAGGTTATCATGATCATTCATTTCTCTATCTTACTATAGAATTGCTCACCAGCAAGAGAAGTCTTGGAAGCTTCATTTTCCTCTTACTCATTTTGAATATAGGCAGATAGTTTGTATAAACATCTGAGCACATTCCTTTGAGTGAATAAACATAATGTATTTGGGAGGGAAATGATAAATACTAGATAATTAACTTTTCCCACCGTCTTAAACTACAGCAGCACAATGGCAGATAGTTATTCCAGAAACAATCTCTAAAGCTTGTACTTGAAACTAGTGGTATTTTCCCGGGGTAAGTGCCTTTTAAATTAGCCAGTTTCTGAGCTATCTAAAGAAAGTAAAGTGACATTAAGAATCCAAATGTTGTCACTTCATGTTATTAACAACTTGATCCTTATTATTTCTTTTGTTTAAAAATTGTATATGAATGGTACACTTACCACATGCATCTAGTAAAACTTTTGAATGGGACAAAATAACCAGTTTTATTTATATCTCCATACAAAAATAACTCAAAATCCTGTCAGACTATGGAGATGTTCTCTTATATGAAAAATTCAGGAAAAGTAGAACCACCTCATTCTTTGTAATAGCTGAATAGTTTTTCACCTGTGCATGTATCATAATTTAGCCAGCTATTCATTGATGGAAATTTATGGGTTTTTATTTCTTCTTCATTTGCTACCACAAACAATGACAGAGCAAATTTTCTTAAACTACTTTTTATATAGTTATATAGTTTGTAATAGTGCACAGCTGTATCTGGAAGGTAAATTTCTAAAGTGAAATGACCAACTAAAGGGATACAGGCATTAAAAAGGTGAAAAGATTAGCCACAGACTAAGAGAAAGATATTTGCAGAACCAAAATATGCAAAGAACTCTAAAAATTCAACAAGAAAACAAACAACCAAATTTAAAAATGCATAAAAAGATCTAAACAGACACCTCACCAAAGAGGATGTACAGATGGAAAATAAGCATCTGGAAAGATCTCAGCATCACACCATGAGGGAAATGCCGCCACACACCTCGTAGAGGGGCTGAAGTCCAACAAGCTAACACCAGCAAACTCCGGCGAGGATGTGGAGGCCTTTCGTTCATTGCTGTTAGGGATGCAGGATGGTCCGGGCTCTGTGAAAGACAGTGGGCAGCATTGTACAAAGCCAAAAGTAGTTTTACCACGTGATCCAGCAATTGCACTTCCTAGGTCTTTACCCCATGAGCTGAAAATTTAACGTCCACACAAAAACCCACACGTGAATGTTTACAGCAGCCTTATTTGTAATTGCCAAAACTTGGAAGCAACGAAGTTTTCTTCAGTAGGTGAGTAGACAAACAGGCTGTGGTTCATCACCACGATGGAATGTCACTCCTCAGGAAAAAGGAAGGAGAGGGCCGCCGGGGACCGCGGGCAGCGCCCTTAGTGCGCGTTGGGAATGAGAGAAGCCAACGACAAGAGGGCTGCACACTGTCTGATTACAGCCGTCTGACACTGTGGAAAAGGCAGAACTGTAAAGACGGAAAAAAGACGAGTAGTTGCCAGGAGGAAGGGGGAGGGCAGAGGAGCACAGGGCGGGGTGCCCAGCGCATCTTGAGACGGTGAAGTTGCTGTGGGCCACAGTAGTGTGGGGGGGGGGGGTGGCACGGCCCATGGAACAACACAAAGAGTGAGCCCTAATATAAACTGTGGGCTTTCGTTAGTAATAATATTCCAATATTTTCTGTCAGTTATAACAAATGCACCACATCATTGCAAGACATTTTGTTAACAACAGGTGAAATGTACACAGGAAGATGTGGGGGGGGGGCTTTCTGTACTTTCTGCTCAATTTTCCTGTAAAAATCTAAAACTTTGCTAACACATTAAGTCTATTAATTTTCAAAAGTGGACATTTTGGAAGCTTGCCAGTCAGTTTGCCGTATGTCCTTTGACTCTTATTGGTATGTTTGTTGTGTGGAATTATTTTCTGATTTTTGCATTTTGTGTCCTAAAAGCCTTCTCTGTATAGATCTTTGAAAAATAATTCCATAATCTCTTTTAATAGGCTTTTTCTTTCTTTTTTACTTTTTTTTTTTTTTTTTGAGACAGATTCTTTTTACAACCCAGGGTAGTGTACAGTGACAGCATCATAGCTCACGGTACCCTCAAACTCAGGAGTGCACCATCACACCCAGCTAATTTTTCTGCTTTTTGTAGAGACAGTATCACACTCTTGCTCAGGCTGGTCTCAAACTCCTGGCCTCAAGCTATACTCCCTTTTTACCCTCCCAAAGTGCTAGGATTACAGGTGTGAGCCACCACACCCAGGTTTTTATGGATTTGTAGTTTCATTTTTCTTTATTTAAAAATCTATGATTAATCTGGATTTTATTTCGGTTAGAAATGATCCTTATTTAGAACACCATCTTCTTAAAAAGACATCATAAAATGCAAACCATAGAGAAAGCATTTCAGGTTAAATGGCATAATACAGCATCTAAAACCTTTTCTATGTTGTGATGTGTCTTTATAAATGGAACAGAATCTTGAAGTGCAGTCTGTGAGCCCATGGGGTTCATAGTGAGCTTTATAAGAGGGCCTGGTAATCCCCAACTGTGCATATGTGTATGTGAGCACATGTGCCCGTGCACACTTGTGCATGTGTGTGTACTTGTGTGTGTGCGCCTGTGCATGTATGTGCCTGTGTGTGCGCGCGTGTGTGAGTGTATGTGCCTGTGTGGCCATGTGTGTGCATGAGTGTGTGTGCGCCCATGTGTGCATGCATGAGTGTGTGCGCCTGAGTGTGCCCGTGTGTGCATGTGTGTGCCTGTGTGTGGTGCATGAGTGTCTGTATGTACGTGCATGAGTGTGTGTGCCCAAGTGTGCATGCATTAATGTGTGCGTGTGTGAGATGCACTCACGGCTACCACACCTTCTGGGCACTTTTGTATGCAAGGTTCCATCAGTTGGATCAAGTACCCAGAAGTGTTCACAAATCCAAAAAGGAGTAAGAAACACTAGAATTGATGGAAACTTTTCCTCAGATGAAACTCTAATAAAAATTTCCCTGATAAATTTTCCTCTGATAAAAGGGTGGTGCTATTGCCTATCAAATGGAATATTGGCCTTTAGTGTACTTTCTGTACAAAAATGTTGCTTTTGAAATTTGCTTTGCCCAGAACATAGGAATAACTAATTCTTAAAATGCATGGTACTTTGGAGAAAAGAGAAAAATTGGATTAAATATATATATAATTCATCATTATATACCAAGTCTAAGGGAAAAAAAGGTAAATGCTAAATTATTCATATTAAATCCAACTATCATTAATATAATATAATCTTAATGGAAAAGAGAAAAGATTTCCTTCTGGAGTATTTATTCATTGAATTTTTGAAGATCTATTTTTTCCCATCAAAACGAAGGGTTTTTATGGTTTATTTGTTTATTTTTGAGACAGAGTTTCACTATGTCGCCCTTGGTAGAGTGCTGAACCTCAAACTCTTGGGTTCAAGCAATTCTCATGCCTCAGCTTCCCAAGTAGCTGGGACTACAGGCACCCACCACAAATAGCCGGGCTATTTTTTGGTTGTAGTTGTTGTTTGGCAGGCCCAGGTTGGGTTTGAACCTGCCAGCTCTGGTGTATGTGGCTGGCACCCTAGCTGCTGAGCTACAGGCACCGAGCCCAAAAAAGTGTTTCTTAATTGTAAAAACTAAAAGCTAAGGAAATATTTTTATTTTAGGAACTAGGGATGATTTTATATCTGTCCCAGTATTTGTGTTTTTCAAATGAATCATTGATATGCTTAAGAGTATACATTTTCTTTTTTTCTTGTATTTGTGTTTTTAACACAGGGTCTTGCTCTGTTGCCTGGGCTAGAGTGCAGTAGCATCATCATAGCTCACAGCAACCTCACACTCCTGGGCTCAAGTGATTCTCCTGCCTCAGTCTCCCAAGTAACTGGAACTACAGGCACACACCCCCACTCCTAGCTAATTAAAATTAATTAAAAAAAATTTTTTTGTAGAAATGGGGTTTTGCTATGTTGCTCAGACTGGTCTAAAACTCCTGGATTCAAACAGTTCCCCTGGCTTGGCCTCCCGAAGTGATGTTTATTTATATGTTCTTCATTGTTTCAAGAAAGGAAGTGTTAATGTACTAAGAAACACCACCAATTTTTAAATGCATTACCCTAGAATGGCTTTTTAAATGAACAAAGAAAATAATATTTATTCCTTACTCTTAACTCTGCGTTATCTTCATGAGAGTGGATTAATGACCACTGGGTCTTTATTTTACAGATTATATATTCATGTACATTAAATATGAATATAACTAGCATATAGGTGTCATCATGCTGTGTGTGGAATAGGACTGTCTATATCTTGGTTCTGTTGTTCTGGGAGTGGTGACCTCGCCCTACATCTTATTGATGTGGTGCCGTGTCCATGGTACTGTGGATAGAGCTTTTCTACATCATTAATTTTAACCTGAAACTATTAATCCCTCCCATTCGGAATGTTTCTCTTTTCAATGTATGTTTGTACATTTCTTTTCTTTTGCTTAGGAATTTTAGAGAAATCCAATAGAGAAGTAATAGAGAAACCCAGAGCAAATGAAACCCGTATTTATCCAGAGCAATTGTTACCAGTAAAAGAGGTAAGTGAGGAAAAAAGAGTGGTTGTAAAAAATTTTATATACAGCATGGCCATAAAGTTCATGTGCAATTTAAAATAATGTGTAATTTAAGATTGCACACGAACTTTATGACCACCCTGTGTGGCACCGTCATCACCACGTGTCTGTGAATCCATTATGATCAATCAAAATATTTTGAGGTTTGTCTTTTGCCACTAGAAAAAAAATTCTGACTGAAAACTGACTTAACAAATTTTTGATGAAAATTCAACTTAGTTCAACACTGTTCTCTTGTACAATCTGTTCCATAGGAGATGGGAGGTTGAATTCAAGAGACCTTTGTTCTCATCCTGACTCGGGCTCTCGCTTTGAGAACATAGGCTGTAGGGAATGGCTGAAAGATAAAGAAATGGGGACTAAAGGGGGAAAGGAAAGAACACTGTGAACTGGCCTCCTGCTGGTGTGTGCCGAACCTGGCCTGCTGCTCTCAAGATCCCCTGCCAGGCTTCTGCTCTGCCCTGTGTCAGAGGAAGTTACATCTTCTAGGTCCCTTGCTTTTTGGGTTCTGGGAAGGTTTGGCCAATTAAAGGTATTGATATAAGGCTGGAGCGTGGGAGCTGTAGGGAACCAGGGTGTCTCTTCCCTTCTCTTGCTTCAGGGAGCATCTCAGGTAGTGGTTGTGACTCTTGAGTTCTCCCGGTGAAGCTCTGTGGCCACCACATGGCCCTCCTGCTAACTCCAGTGTCCCCTGGAGGTCTGGCTTGACTTCATCTTCACCTGGTGGCCCCAGAAGCAAGTCTCCCACACTCAGTCCCTTGGTAGCTCCAGTCCAAGGGCTGGTTGTGGCTTCCCACTCTGTCTATCTTGCTTGACATCCCTTATTTGACTCCTCAAATCTTCCATCACCAGGGTAGCCAACACCCTACATTAGAATTCTTCCTTTTGAAATACCTCGAATGATTTCTGTTTCCTGAATGGATCCTGACTTTTACATACTAGGTAAATATTTGAAAAGATAAAATAGCATATTGTTTTAGCCTAGAAAGCAAGGGAAATAATCAGGATAATTCAAAGTTATACCCCCCAAAATAAAAATCAGTACTGAGAAATTAGGTAATTATTTTGTGCACAGAATAGAAAACTACTTGAGTTCCTCTCTCTTTTCTTGGATCAACTGCTTAATATTCTCTATTCTAACTGGAATATGTGTGATGTCAAATATCAGATGAGAGAGGCAGAAGCAAACTATATTTTATGAGAATAACAGACTTTCAAAGAGGTTTGAGGTAAGTGAAGTTTTCAGTTTTCTTTTCTTTCTTTTTTTCTTTCTCTCTCTCTTTTTCTTTCTTGTTATTGTTTTAAGACAGGGTCTTGCTCTGTCACGCAGGTTGGAGTGCAGTGGCCTAAACATTGCTCACTGCAACCTCAAGCACAAGCTAAAGGGATCCTCCTGCCTCAGCCTCACGTAGCTAGGACTACGCTCAGCTACACTCAGCTAATTTTTAAAATTCTTTTGTAGAGTTGGGGTCTTGCTGCATTGCCCAGGCTTATCTCAAACTTCTGGCCTCGAGCAATTCTCTTGCCTTGGTCTCCCAAAGTGCTGGGATTATGGGCATGAGTCATCACACTTGGCCCAGTTTATTTTTTAAGAGCAGCTATTAATGTGCTTGTTTTCAATATTTTGAAAAGAGAATTCAGATGTGCCAATGTTTTATAATCACATTACAGAGAAAGGTAACTGTTACTACACACATACACAAAAATTTCTTTTCACAATAGCCATGGCAATTAATGGCAATTTTCACCAGAACATATTCCCTTGATGAATGAGTGAATGAATGATTTTAATGAATACACATGACTTGATGGGGAGTGGGCAGGAAGAAAATCAGGATTTTGTTTTCATTTTAATTTTTATGGAGATAGTTTCCCTTTTACATTTTTATCATAAATGTGTCCTGGGGAATTACTGGTACAGCACAGTGCTGTAAGTGTGCCACTTCTAAAGTTTCACTTACAAGAATGAAGATTATATGAGTTTAGTAGATTAAATTACTGATTAATTTTTATGCAAATATAAGAGATATGTGTTTCAGGCCCTATGATACTAAAGGTCCAAATAAACTTCAGAAAGACAAGTTCAGTTACAACTTAATTATGAGAATAATGAGAGCAAGAGCCACTTTTTCTAATTATAGAGTCCTAGAATCATAGAATTTTAGCTCTAGAAAGTGAATCACCTTTATTACTTTTTACAGTGTATGTAAGAAGTAGTAAATTAATGCTGAGTGGGGTGTACATCTAATAAAATTAGGTTAATGATCATAATCTCTGTCATTTTAGACCAAAAGGAACCATAGAAATCGCCCAATTCAGCTCTACTATTTTTTCTAACAAAAAGTCCCGAGATATAGAAAAAGCAGTTATTCAGTCAGGGATATAGAGTCCTGGGTTTTCTGAAGTTCAGTAGGTGCGAACAAGATTACATTAAGACAAGGCAATCTGATTCTAAGCCTAGGTTCAGCCTACGACCCGTGGTGTCTTTAGTACTTTAGAGAATGCTGGGGAGTTCGGGGGAAATACATATTCCTAAAAATATGGCCACGTGAGCCGTGGACCACAAGAAAAAAGAAAACAAGAAGACATCAGCCTCTACCCCAGTCCAGAACCATGCAGACCTTTTAAATTCCTCACTCTTGGAACAAAAGTAGTTCTCCTCACCACTTGGCAGCAGAAAGACTCAATAAAACCCCAAGCAAGTAAGACTCTTGAAAGGGCACAACAGTGTGTTCTCTGAGAAATTTGTTTCTTACTGCTATTTTTTGGCTTGTCTGGATTTCTGAGAGTAAAAAAGAAAAGATTGAATATTAAATGCTGTCTTATGTTGCAATACTTGTTAACAAACTATAAAAAAGACTATAAAAATCTAATTTAGACTTTATTAAATATATTGAATTTAAAGGTTGCTTTATGTGATAAATAGTAAGTATAGTTTTCTGCTCTCGTAAAGATGGCTTTATTGAACTATATTTAAGAGATTAAATTTTGAAAAATTTTTTTATTAAATCCACTGATGAATTAAAATGAAATGTCAGCATATTACGGTGCATAAAGAATGCACATGTTTTTGTATATTGCTTTATTCACTGGGTAATATTTTTCGGGTTGTAAGAGTGGCTTTTACACTATATCAAAGAATACCTATATTCTGTGTGTTGAATGAAAGTAATAAGTTTATATCTATAACAATAGAAACATCTGTTGCTCAGTTGAGATTAATATGACTTTACATAAATTTATATTGCAGGCTACATTACTAAATTTTGGCTGGAGGAGTGCATTTAAAGCAGTGTCTCTTCCCGTGGCACACTGCATAACAATGGCCATTGAAGATTTTTCCACAAAAATTCTTCAACAGGAACAAAATGAAAGGTCTTCAGCTGTGAGCTACAACATGAATCCTGTAAACGTCCAGGAAGTTTGGCGAGCTGGCCACTCGTTTTCTGAGGAGGAACAACCAAAGAAAATCGCAAAGGCAAGTGTCAGATAAAATCCTTTCACACTGCTGGCTGGAATGATGGGATTTAAAAAAAAATCTCAGGCACTGCAAGAGAAAGCACTAAATAAAATGGTGCAGTCATCAGAAAGCACTTGGTACTTGACCCCAAACCAGGGTCTTCTCTGGTACCCGGGGATGATTCTATAGGGAAGGACACGGACCTCCTGAATCCGAGGCACCCAGGGACTCTGTGACTTCACAGGCAACTGAAAAGCGCTGGAAAACTGCCTGTTTTGATTTTACCTTTACATGAGTGTAGGAGAAATTTAGGAGAGTGAAAGGAGTATCTTTCTTTTGGCTTGAGAAATTTTGAAATATTTATGCCTTAATGAACATTCCCTTTCCTCAGCATCAGTCCCACATCCTTCCGTGTGTTAGGAAGTCACAGAACCCACTGAGAAAATAGGCAGGAGGGACGGATACTTGGCTTAGGAGCCCAGCAACCTGGGGCTGGGAGGTTTTCAACAGGGAATCCTTGAAGCTGGCCTCTTACTCTGGCTATTGCCCTGAACCCCAGAACGCTCCCTAGGGACTGCCTTGTGGCTGCTGCGAGGTGGAGCCAGCCTTCACTTTCACAGCCACCATACCTGCGACTGTGTTAGGAAAGAGTAGGTGCCTGTGTGATCAGTAAGGAAAAGCCAAACGCCTTTCTTCCGAGGTGCTGCCGCTTTACCAGGAGGGAGACGCTGCAGGAGATTGTTTCTGATGCCTCTTGATTATTTAAATTAAACTAACATTTACATGGGATGTTTAATTTGAAAAGCCTGTTGTGGAAATGTAGCAAAAGATAATTAGAAGAAATTAAAAAACAATGTGAACCTGCCATGGAAAGCTGGCTCATGAGTTTCTCATACTGCCTGTCTGGTAAGCATACAGTTTGCAGGTTATATGTAGAGAAGCATCATTTTGGTATTTCCTTATTTGACATAAAATATTTAACTTACGACAACTGAGAAATTGATTATTATAAAGCTGTGCCATTATATTTATGTTTGATGCCAAATTCATTATTTAGGAATTTGGCTCCACGGTACGTAAATTACATGGTGCTGTCAAAGTACAAATAACTCAGTGCCACATTTATTTCTCCCTAGTTTTGTTCTGACATCATGGAAAAACTTGACACAATGCTTCCACTGGCTCTGGCATGCAGAGATGATTCTTTTCAGGAAATTAGAGCAAACTTTGTGGAGGCTTATTGTAAAGTGGCAACAGCTGTCCTGGAGAGACTGCGAGACAGAGGCAAGGAGGTTCCTTCCAAAGCCCCCCTGGGAAACCTCCACGTGCTCCTCTCCTCAGCAGTGTTCGTCTTCCAGCATTTCACGCACTATGATAATTCGATGAAAGAAGCTACTAAAAAGTGAGTGTTGTTTAAATCACGTTGAGGGCCATGCTTAAAAAGGCATGTAATATTTGGATATCACAGGAGTTATGTTTTGATAAGATTTGAGAAAGAGAAAATCTTAATTTACATGGCGAATTATTTTCATTTGTCTTGACTAGGAAATGTCAAAAAGGTGGAGCCTGGAACATTTTAAAGGAGATCTGTGCATGGGTGGTCGGAAAGGCACTCGCCAGGCCCTGGCCCTTTCCAGACCCCGATCTGGAGCAGCAGTTCTGCCTGTTGCTCTGACATGACTCAATATACCGTCCCTTCTGTAAGGCACGTTATACTGACCACACTGAAAATCAAAAACTTGTCTCATGTACACACATTTGTGAAATAGTCACCTTTCTCTTTTGCTCATAAGCTAACAGGCTGTTAGGAGCTGACAATGTAAATGTAACTATATTTCAGGACAGCCGTTTAGTAATAAACTATCTGTAATATTAGGAGAAGAAGCATCTGGGAATTTTTTTTTTATACATAGTCTTACATGGTGCATCCAAGAGTCTTATTTCTCACATATTTGTTGCCTAAAAAGACAATATGTTTTCTGCATAGAAATAAAAATTGCACAGGTATTAATTAGCACATGGTCTTTCCTGTTGCCCTTCCAGAATACCAAGTATTCTGGAATTAGATAGTGGTGATGTTTGTACCCTCCTTGCAAAGGGAGCACATGCACTTGGCAGTCCAAGGTGACCCCAAGAATCTCTTCTCTGTTCTTTTTTCAGCTCTAGCAATGCCTTAGTTATAAAAGAAGGCAGTATAATATTAACAGCTAAAGATAAAGGTAGTAAAATAAATTTGGCTGAGGAGGCTATAAATATGATATTTCTTTAATTCTCACAAGTAGTCAGATGTTGTGATTCATACTTGAATTTATAAACTGTGCCAGAAATCATTTTGTTTCTATAGAATATTTTAAAACAGTTTGTGAGATAATTGACATCTACCGAATTACAATTTTTAAAAAATAAAAAGACTGTGTTTGTGGGACATTTACAAAAGTTGGTTCTGACAAGTGCATGTTGTTCTCTGATAATAACGATAACCTAATCCCTAAATAATACACTGATCTCTAATGATAGGCTTACAAAGAATACTTTTATTTTTGAATGATGTATTGACAATGCAGTTTGTCGAAGTTGAAGTGCATATTTGTAAAACAGCAGATGTACAATTTTCAAAGGACTTGCGAAACAAAGATCAGCTTTTTTTTTTCTTTTCTTTTTGGAAAGTGAACGTGGATGCAGACTTCAGCATTAAGAGGAAATGAATGATTGATATATAATAATCAAAACCATTTGTAGTACTGGAGATTGTTACCTCCTACTGCACAGGCCTTAAATCTCTGGCTCTTTGATCATTCTCTCTGAACAGATCCATATTCCTGGTGCCTGTCCAACGGTATCAGGAACTCATCAGCACTCTGCAGTTTCAGGTTACGGACTACTGCGTCAGAGTTTGTGCTACAAGCATTTTACAGGATGCTGAGAGCCACCACTGGGACGACTACAAAGCTTTTTATGAGGTGTGAAGTTAAGTTTACTATCCCTCCTTTTTACACAAATATGTTTTACTGCCTACCTGCTTTCTGGCTAATTAGAAACATGAGCTTGGCATTACTAACACACGAAGGCTGTTAGGATAATATTTTTTAAATATTGAATTCCTACTTAGGAAAAACACTGTTTTTAAAAACCTGAAATAAATTAGACATCAGAACTCTCCTTCTGCTTAAAAGTAAAAATAACTTAATTTGAGCTGCAATGTTGCAGGGCTAAATAAACTGGAATATAATGGGATACAATGAAAACTCTAAGACATACCAGTGCCAAAATGCTGCAACCGTGTCATTTTTTTTCCCCAAAGGGACCAAGTTATGGGTATTCGTGAATTTTTTTTCTTGTTATGTATTTCCATCTGTGTTTGATAAATACTTTCTTTCTAAGCAGCTTTATGCTTTAAACTTATTTTTTCTTTCTCATTGTGTGTTCTTATGAATATACTTTAAGACACATCTGATCATTTATAGCTAACCTATTTTCATTTAGCCCATGTTTTGAAATCCCAAATTTCTAGCAAATTAAAGTCTAATGATTGCCAGTACAATCCTTAGAACCCTAGATCAATTAAAATATTCATCATCAGGCTTCATTCGTTTCCCTTCCCTTAAATCTCATTGATTATACGCAGACCACAGCATTAGAAATTCCTTGAAGTTGATTCCAGGGCAGGGTGAAACATTTATAATATCTTAATAAAAGGTAATCAGGGTTTTAAAAAAGTTCCACACCCATGCCCAGCTCCATTAGCTTTTGATTTCACCCTTTCCTCTGGACTGAATTCTATGACTTTCATTTCTTGATGGTTCTAATCACTGTAGTGCATCAAGAAAAGCAGAGTGGAGTTCTGTTCAATACAGTCACTCTTGTCACCCTCCTGGCACTTGAGGTTCCTGTGGTCCCATTGATGCCTGAGGTATTATAATAAACATTGCCTCAACACAGACCTTCAGCTAATAAGAAGCTCTTTTTTCAAGGACTTTCCACTTTTGCTAAGGCCATTTCATCTCGCCTTTAGAGGCCCTTCCCAGATAGTTTTTTTTTTTTTTGCAAGAACATCCATGTAGGGTTTTCCAAACCTGACGTACTGCAAACAGCAGTGTGAGCAGCCAGCAGAATCAGCAGAATGGGAAAGAGAAAGTGGTCGGGAGCAGCTGGTGGGCTGAGATAAGAATGGAAGTGCAGGTCTTCCTCTCTCCAGAGGCATCACTGTGCTTCCTTATTTGCCTTGAGGTAAACAGAGAGTTTGAAAAAGAATCCGTCTCATGTTTCTACTGTTTCAATTTGCCAGTGAGCAATTTTGCATGATGTTTTCAGGGCAGAACAGGTATGATTTCACTCTGTGTTCAACACGGGGTATTACGTTTCCTCCTATGCAAATTGGGAGCTAGAACAGTTGTGTAGTATGCATAATCAATGGATGCACTGAGAACCTGCTATTGAAGTTACCAAGTATTAAAAAAGAAACACCAAATTACCATGTAATATGCAGCTCTTAGATCTTATGACAAGGCTTTAGCTTCAAAGACAGAATTAGCAGATAGTTACCCAGTGATTACCCAAGCCTGAAGCTTCCACAGACTTACATGGTCAGTACTTAACAATTTAATTGCAGAGTTACTGGTTGTTATTTATGCTCAGAAAAATGAAGTGAAACCACTTTCATATTTACCAAAAATAAGAACCTTCTAAAAATAGCAAATATTTAAAACTGTTTGACAACTGAAATTCCTGGCATGGTTTTATCTCACTGCATGCTTCTCTCCTCCTCTCCCCATTATTCCAACTAACGTGTGAAACAGAACCAGTGTGTTTCTGGCAGGCCTGTTTTGAGAAGAAAGGAGATGATATCTGCCTGACTAGAGGTGCAGGGTAGGATAGAGATCTCAGGGTGGCCTCTTGCCATGCACAGAGCATAGTGAAGAAATGGTAAAAGGATTTACAAGGTATAGAACAATATTTGTTCATGTTTTGTGATAGCAAGTGAGCCCTAGATACATTATTTCCATTTTCTAAGCTGTCAGGCTGAGAGTCAAAGAGTTCTGTATCTCTCCGACGAGGTGCTGGTCAGATGGCACAGTGGGTGTTCAGATTACATGTTTAAAATTAAGCTTTTAGTAGAGTTGACATCTGTTCAATTTTAGAAACTTGTATTTTCCAATAGTCAAAGAATAAAGAATTGTCTGTTCAAAGATAATATTGAGCGGCTTCTATAATAAAGCCCAGCTGCTTGTTTTCTGATATATAATCTAAATAAACGCTCACATCTGTTTGCATGATACTGGGTCTGTAGAAATAACAGATGTTTACAGCAGAATACTTTTGAGATGACAATAGGGAAACAGGTCAGAAGAATGAACCAATCGCTTTTAGTTTAACGAAAACCCTTGCGTACGTTGAAGTTGTATGAATTTTTTAAAAAATTATTTTTGAAAGACCAGTTTGGAATATTTTTAAGTAAACATGAAACTTGGATTTTAAAAAGTCTTAAAAAGTAGGTTTTCTACTTTAAAGAGAAAAAAATCTGTCTGCCTAAATTTTCTCATTTATTGGTGAAAAGTAGCCACTAAGGAAATTAATTTTTCACATTTTGGAAAATATGAGCATTCATGTTAATCACATAATGATAAGCTCCCATCCATTGCCATGGGGAAACTTACAGTGTAAATCATTCATACTAGTCACTATATCAGCTTGGGTCAGTTTTGCTTTAGTTAACATGCACCATAAAAAGCATGAGAGAATGAAGCTTTAAAACTCCTTTCACAGGTTAAGAAGTATTTATAATAACATGAAACAAAGGAAACATAAGGAACTATAATTTTGCTTCTTCAGCATTAACTTTGCTATTTCCTTTTTTCAAGCAGTTTAGATACACAGCTAACTAGAAGTCAGAAGCCAGTGGCCAAAGTCTTCTCCAGTGTGAACTTGACTCTGATGTTCACACTGGAATGTGACTGTGTTTCCTACCCAAGGAACAACAATTCTACTCATTTATAAATTCTACTTGAAAGTCAATATAAAAACTATAAATTATTATTATTACATCAACTGCAAAAGATTTTAGTAATCAAAGAAACCATCAGAAGAATAATGTGTAAAGATAATTCTAATAGTATCTTCATAAGGAACTATCAACACTGAGTACAAAATAACAGCAATTTTTTTAGATGACGTTTATTTGAGAAATATAAGTAGTGAGCAAAGCACAAATTTTAAGTCAAAGAGAATTACTTAGACATATGAAATCTTACTACTTTAACTTTTGATATATAAGCATAATTGGGATAATGCTTGATAAGTGCATTCTATTCTTCCTATTTCAAATAATCTTTTGATCTAGTTTGAAGAAAATGAGGGCAAACTCATAACTCCTGGATAGCATGTCACCTAATTAATGCTTATAAATCACTTGAGGCTACCTTCTCCTTTCTGCCTGTTCCCCTTGGCCATGGCCATTGTTAGGTCTCCCTGTGCAGTTGGGGAAAACTTGGTGCACAGAAGAGAGCTGTACAGGGGTTGAACTGAATGAGAATATGACCTCTTGGAAGTATGAGGCACCATAAAAATACTAAGAAGTGATAATATGTTCATTTTTCATTATGATATCTTATGAACTCAGACTATTGTAGTATCTGTTGCTAGTACTGTTTTTAAACAGATTTCACCATAGGCAAAATAGCCTTATGTGGTAATCTTCAATAGTTATGCAAATGTCCCTTGGTTTCAAGAATGTTCTTAAGAATATAGCAAGCAGCTGGGCCCGGTGGCTCACACCTGTGTTCCTAGCGCTCTCGGAGGCTGAGGTGGGTGACTGCTTGAGCTCAGGAGTTAGAGACCAGACTTAACAAGAGTGAGACCCTGTCTCTATTAAAAATAGAAAACCTAGTTGGGCATTGAGGCAGGCATCTGCAGTCCCAGCTACTTAGGAGGCTGAGGCAGGACAATCATTTGAACCCAAGAGTTTGAGGTTGCAGTGAGGTAGGCTGACATCGGGGTACTCTAGGCTGAGCAACAGAGTGGGACTGTCTCAAAAAAAAAAAAAAAGAATATAGTATGCAAATTTATTTTATTTTTGCTCCTGTCATTTCATTATAATGTGAAATATGAAGCACTTATAAAAATACCTCAATGATGATAATAGATGGGAAAAGTGTATCTACTAAAACAATTTAAATAATTTAGTTTTAGAACAACCAGTCCACTACCCTAAACCAGTTAGTATGACTTGTTTGGCAACTACAAAACTGATTGTTTACAAGTAAATTTTAAGACCTAGGCTAGGAGTAGGTAAATAAAGGCTACACTAGGTTAAATGACTGTGGTCTGGATTTGCATTCGAACATCATCTCTCCTAATTGAAATAAAACATATGTTCCTTTGTCAATAAGAAGGTTTTCCATCTTGTCAAAAATCTGTCTTGGTCATCTAGTGTGTCAAACTCTCCAGCTACTTCCTCCCAGCCTGAACTAATTAGTTTCATAGGAAGCAAATCAACATTCTGGAAGATGTAATTCTATTGTTCAATGTGTGCTGGTTTTGCCAGGGGGAAAGATGCTCCTTCTCAATCCAGATGTGGCATTATTTCTGCTGGGCTCTTCGTCACGATCTCTGGACCATTCTGCCCTGTATGTTAGCCCAAGAGATTCTAGCAGAAGTGCTGGAGAAGTCTTTGGGTCTACTGGCCTCCCGATATGCTCGGGCCCATCCCAGTTATAAGAGAACTCCACAGATAAGGTAATTTAAGCTCTGAAAAAGACTGTTGCTCAAGAAAACCCTTTTGCCATTTGACATAAAGCAGTATATCATTCTGAATCTCATGACATCACTCCTTGTGTATTTCACATGTTTGTACCATCTGAAAGAATATCATACTCAATTCTCTGGAGGTGAAAATGTGGAACCTTAATCAAAATAAATTTCCTCTCTTTTCTTCTTAAAAGTATATATAGAAACAACTTATCTCTAAAAAAATGGTTCAAGATGTCTTGTAACCTAGACATATACACACAAAGGTTAATAAGATAAAGAGAGAAAATTAAGGCCCTAAAATGGAGAGAAAAGCAACTGTGCTATGATGGCACAGTTTGTCTATGCAACCAGGGGATTTTACTTGTTTTAAGGCTTTGTATATAGAAGTTTATCTTCATTAAGGAAATGGTTTCATCTAATCATTTTTCTCCTTTATATATTCTAATTCATTCTTTCCTTTATTTTTTTTTCTTTTCACTGTGTATTACTATAAATTCAACAAAATGTGAAATTACAGGAAGTGAGGAGCAAAATCACTCACTGAGCATTAAATAAAAGACTGAATTACAATTACAGTGTAAATCTGTGCGTTATCTAAGCAATGAATTTTATACAAATGTACTGACATGACAACAATGGTCTGTATGAAGGGAAGTCTTTTTTAAAAAAATAAGTATTCTATCTAATGTGATTAAGACATGTCTTTCAGGTATAAAAAAATTTTTTTTCAGATATATTTTAGGAGGAACATATAGACATCAAAGGCTTTTTTTTTTTTTTTTTTTTGGTTAGGAGGAATCATTTCCTGATCATGTTCTTGTAAAGTATGCTGCAATTTGAAGGGCACTTAGGTCCTGCTACGGTGTTTCATAAATATGGCATTTTGCACAGGCTGTTTTGAATTACTGACCAAGCTTTTTTTTTTTTTTTTTATTAAATTGAGCTCTGAAGAATAGATGGAAAATTCCTTTAGAGAGCAAAGAATACCTTCATTCTTTTTCTTATGTAATATAAATCACTTTTGACTATGAGATGGCAAGTCATTATGAGGTATTTGTGAAATCAGATTTATTTTTAGCTCATGAAATAGGTAGTATATTTAATTAATTAACTGTACTATAGAAACTTTTGGTTTATTTTCTAGGTGGTTGCATAAAAATGCCATACGATGTTAGAATTATTGTTTTTAGTCTTTATAAGTAAAATATATAAATATTTTTATTTGAATGGTCTTTCCTAAACCATCATTATTTTAGAAATCAGATTAGGTACGTGTGTGTATGTGAGTGTGTCCATGTATCTTGGACTAGTAACTGTTTATTTAGCAATTAGAGAAAGTGTCCTCAGAGTACAACTAAACCTTCCTAAAGGCTGTTACTGATGCTTCTAGTATTCCATTAGCCATTCAGTATTATATAACTAGATCGTATATGTAACTTATGTATGTTATTTATGATATGATTTCTATATATGTTATATACATAATAAATTTGAGGCCAAAATAACATTTTCAAAGATGCTTAAACTTATTTTTCTTATCACTTCAAACTTTCCATCTTCTATTTCTTCAGCTCTGAATTTAAAAGGGTAAAAAAAGGGGAAATTAACTGAAGTATGTTCAATTTAGTCATATACCAAAATATCTTAAAAGAGATCTTTGGATCCTTACTAAGACTCAAGAAAGATGGAAACAGAAATAAGTCTATGAATAAGATACGGGACAGCATATTTTTCACAACTTTATATAATATTAGACATTTCTGCTGCCATTTCTTCTCAGCTTCCTCTTGCTGAGAGAACATGTTATTCACTTTGTAAACTTTGTAAACTTTGACAGCATACACATGGGTGAGAGAACTGTTTTGCTATCAAATTTCTACCTATCATATTTATGTGGATAATAGCAAATTTTTCTTTTCATCTTTCTTCTTTTATACTCAATGTAATTTCAAGGATGGTCTCTTGAGTTTCTTGAACAGAATTCTGATAATGCAAAATAAACTTTAAAAAAAAGCACTCTTATACACCTCACCATCCATAAAGATAATGGTACTGTGAGTCATCTAACAGCAGGACACAAGATGTGTCTTTGATGCTTTCTCTTTTTGATCCCTGAAGCTTTGGTGTCTAACCAAATCTTTCTTCTCTTACATATGCTTAGTACAAGAGATATGTATGAAAGTGTATATACCAAGCGAAAAGGTTATTTTGTTTAATATGATTTTTTTCCTTTTTCTTTCCATTAGACTTGATGTCACAGCAATTTTAATATGCACTGAGAACATGTTATGGTCAGTTTGTACATCTGTACGGAAACTTTTGAATCCTCAAGAGTATACAGATGATAAAATTTTAAAAATTCATAACCATTGCAATAACTTATTTACCACATTAGTCATTTTGACTTCACCGTTAAAAGACTTATATAAGTAAGTATCAAATATATTTTAATTTTAACTATCATGATATATAAAATAATGTGGTTTAACAATGTTCTTTTTATAACACTTATTGAATTGTGTAAGTTAGCAAGTAAGATATAGTATTGTGAACTGGGCTATTTTATAAAGTTAACACCGATCAATAGTGGTTTCTCAAAGCAATTTAACCCCAAATGTGTTATATCCCTATTGGTCAATCCCATTCAATTGATAAAGTTTCAATACAGTCAGGGACATTTTGAGCTTCACTATTTGAGTCATTTAAATGCAAAGTATACTGGAAGCGCCAAAAAAGTGTTATGTACTTTTTAACAATTTTGTTAGAAGTAAAATTGATCATTCCCCAAAAGTATATGAATTCTAGGTAAAATGGGTGTGAGTGACATATCTAGATGTATTTGACCAGTAAAGGTACCTGCAGTTCAGCGTCACAAAGTGACACAGGTAACATCTCTTACTATGTATATAATTTATGGCGCCCTCTGTTGTTAATGGGTTGGTTACCTCAGTCACTATTTCGTACTCTCTGAAAATGAATATATCTAGCTGCTTTTTCTTTATTCTAAAAATACATTTTAGTTTCTAATTTTATATAAAGTGATTTATACTCTAATAAAAATAAATGTTAAAAAATCATTCTACTATATGCCCAAGGCTGGAGGAAACCTAACAGTCCCACACTTTCAGTTAATCTGCCACAGATTTGCATTTTTCACATCAGGCTTCATTGCCTTAGCTGGTTGTGTCAAATGGAAATAAAAACAATTAATTACATCAAAAAAGTTGAAATGTTTTACTTAGCTCCGCAAAAAAAGATTTAGAGAAATCTAGTAATTTTGAACTACTTTTCAGTTTTGGGTAACTTGATTCAAATTTGTAATGACATAGAAGAAGTTGAAATAGATCTTATAATAAAACATTAATGCTTTTATTTAAATCATCTAAAATTGTCATATTTTGTCTTGAAAGACTAAATAATTGTATATTATTTGCTTCTTGTGTGGTAAACAAATTCACGTAATATTTCTATTTCTTAGAACAAATCAGGTAAAGTGTTCCATTTTTTAACATTCTAGTTAAAAGGGATATACAAATCTTGATTTTCAATGAATTTAAGACTTTTGTATTAGATATCCTAAGAGTTATTAATAGTCTTGATTTCAATTTTCCTATAATTTTCACCTACTCTAACTTTCAATAAACTCATTGTCTACAGATTGTTCCTTCTATCAACCCAAGTTGAAAATTACTTTTAGCAATGGAGTATTTTTTTTTTTTTTTGGAAAGAGGAAAAAACAGTGAGCTAAACTGCCATAAGGTTGAGATTATATACATAATAGTTCATAATCATAAAAAGCTCAAGTCTGAAGCCTGTAATAAATCCTAGGAAACTAAACTGATTTGCCATAGATGAAAAAATTGCTATGCTTTCAGTTCAATGGGTCATTTCATCTAAGAAGAAGGCCCTGTGAAAATCAGGAACAAAGTTGACAAATTTCATGGATTGGTCATGGTGAGCAATATTGAATTTCATGCTTTGTCACAGATGAATTGAAAAATTTTAACCCCCCCAATGCATTTGTAAAACAAATAAATTATTATCAAAGATTGCATATTTTAATAATAACAATGTAGCATACATTCGTTATTGTTAACCTATGGCCTTTTGATACAATTTTAACAACTATGCAAGTGCCCAAATCTCTGTGATTTGTGCATTAGACATTGCACTGTAACCTCATTTGGCAAATTTAAATTGCTAATTTTAACCAGGATTACAGAACATTTTATACCAAGCACTGCCTCTGGTTTTTCTTACTATGAAACATAGATAGCTGTGTTGCTTTGAAGCATAAACAAAAGTCTAGGCATACTTTAATTCTTTCTTAATATTTCTCAGTTCAAACATTTGATCAATTAACACATTTTATCAATTCATGTTGATTTAAATTTTATGCTTTTTTCCCCTAGACTATAAATCTAGTCTTTGAAATATATTTTTTCCACGGGGCAGCGTGTTTTCACCAACTGGGGAGGAATAGATGGGCTGCAAGAATACAGCTGACTTCCCATACTTCTTTTTATAGCCAGGCTGTGAAGTGGTCATAGTATGCATTGTAGAGCATTGTAGAAAAACTGTTTCTCTGTCTCACATTAAAAAATTAACCGCTATACATTGAAGAATTAATGAAAAGTAACAATCAGACATTGCTACTACTCAATTTTATAACTTGTACCTGACATTTGTCACTCTCTGTGATGTGCCTATTTATTTATTTTTGAGACACAGTCTTAAGTTGTCGCCCTCGGTAGAGTGCTGTAGTATCACAGCTCACAGCAACCTCAAACTCCTGGGCTTAACTGATCCTCTTGCCTCAACCTCCCAAGAAGCTGGGGCTGCAGGTGCCCCCACAACACCTGGCTATTCTTTTTTTTTTTTGGTTATAGTTGTCATTGTCATTTGGTGGGCCCAGGCTGGATTCAAACCTGCCAGCTCCAGTGTATGTGGCTGGCACCTTAGCTGCTTGAACTATAAGCAGTACGCTCTTTCAAAAGGTGACTGGCTTTATTTCAAGTAGTTCTGACGACAAACTCTATGTATTTTCCTTTCTAAGCTTAGCATAGGACCACTAAATCCCAGGGCAGGAACAGATGATTTTAAAGTCTTTTCAAGAAGAATGAAACCTGTTTGCAAAAAAGTGTGTTCTTTTTTCACTTGCCTTTGTAGATTTCTGCTAGAATGTTATGAAAGGAGTGCTTTAGGCTTATTCCCCAGGGAAAGGGACCTGCTGAAACATAAAATATTCACCACGTGTTTTCCAAAATGCCTCCTGCTTGTAGTCCTTTCATAACGGCAGTTGAACTGCACATTTAGAAACATATCACACCTGCATTTTCACACACAAATCCACACAGAGGTCTCGTATGTTACACTTTGTGTACAAACACTATTAGTTTTAGTTTATGTACAGCAAATTAAAAATGAACTGCTAGAATCTTAGCAATCTTCAAATTGCTTGGGTAAAAGCAATTTAGTTTCAGTTCAACAAATATGGTTGTCAGCTTGGCGACCATACCTCAGTGAGTAGGGCACCGGCCACATAGACCAGGCTGGCAGGTTTGAGCCTGGCCGGGGCCAGCTAAACAACAATGACAACAGCAACCAAAAAATAGCCGGGCGCTGTGGCAGGTGCCTATAGTCCCAGCTCAGGGGTTCTCAAACTTTTTTAACAGGGTGCCAATTCACTGTCCCTCAAACTGTTGGAGGGCTGGACTACAGACCTTGGGACGAGTTGGCTGCTAAGCAGGACAGGCAGTGGGGGCAAAAACACTTGGCAGGCTGGATAAATGTCCGCATGTGGCCTGCGGACTGTAGTTTGAGGATACCTGGTCCCAGCTACTTGGGAGGCTGAGGCAAGAGAATCACTTAAGCCCAGGAGTTTGAGGTTGCTGTGAGCTGTGATGCTACAACACTCTACCCAGGGTGACATAGTGAGACTCTGTTTCAAAAACAATACAAAACAAAACATATTATAAAAAACCCAAAATATAGTTGTCTTACTGTCCCTGAGACAAAGCACAAGGGATCCAACAGTAAGCATATTGTAATACCTGCCCACAAGCAATTCATGAAAATCTGATAAAATTTTTAATGTTAAAATTACATTATAAATTTATATTTAGCTAAATTTTTTGACGTATTATATCAAAGTCCTAAAAATCGAAACTTTGTAAAAGTTGACTGTCCCCAACATGTAACAGGAAGAAAGAAGACGATTTCAGTACTAATGCCAACGTGCCAGGCAAAGGCAGAGTTCTTCAGAAATAGGCCAGAATGCTGATCACTAAGCCCAAGAACAGAAGATTCATTTTAGGGGTCACTTGGTAGCACTCATGAGGCTTCTGAATCAGAGTTCCAAGATATTCCAATGCCGGGTCTACGGTGCTGTTTCCAGCTGTTAAGTCTTTTGAGGTTATGATCTTAATCCTTTTCTATTGCTGTTGTTTGCTTTTTAAACTATTTGTCCCTCACAAAATAGAATACATTGGACTAAAATAATGATACCTCAAGAACGGCTGGCACAGTCTGGGAACAGTTAGCTCCTCACAGTGTTCAGCACAGAGTAGACGTCTGTAAAATGATGAGTATGCAGTCACATGACCCAGCATGGAGACAGAGGTCCCCACCAAGAGCTGTGTGGGAGTGTTCACAGCAGCTTCCACAAGTGCAGGGAGTGCCCATCCCCGGGGGCGGCGGGGAGGCAGAGAAAGGAAAAGTTATCCTATTCATACTGTGGAGTATTACTCAGCAGCTGTGCATGTAACGACTCACTCTACGACAAGGATAAGCCTCCCAAACATTGCGCTGAGTGAAAAAGACATATATGAGAGACCACATATGGTTTGATTCCATTTATAAGAGATGTCTGAAACAGGCAAATCCCTAGAGACACAGAGTAGATCAGTGGTTTCCGACGCTGAGGAGCGAGGAACCAGGCCAGACTGGGATGGGAACTTGTTGCCCTGGAGGATAAGATACTAGATCGTGACTAGGGTCACACAGCTCTGAGAAGATAGTGGAAACCACTTAATTAGTGTACTTTCAGTGGGTAAATTTTGTGGTATATGAGTTATATAGACCATAAAAAATGTATATAAGATGGAATGAAAGTAAAATGAAAATATTTAAGATGTAAAAAAACAACAAACAAAAACAACACTATCTTGCAGAATACAAAATGATCCAGAAAGTGAAATTTCTTGTCTCAGCCATTGTGTTTAGATCCAATTATTCCCTTTGGCCACCTTCCTCTGAACATTATTTTTAAGGGAAAATCTCTTTTTAAAAAAGTACAAAATTAAACAGCTTTATGTGTGGTCCTACTAAGGGGAAATACTAGAAAAGAGCCAGCCAGCCATTGACTTTGGAGAAGCCTGTGCCCGACTCTGCCCGGCTCCTACTGCTCCCTGGAGTCTAGACTTGCTCT